CCCCCCCCCCCCCCCCCCCCCCTGCAACTCAAATTATGACTGGTCCCTAATAATTGAAAGGGCTTTTCCCTTCTTTAACCAGCACATGATAGCATTTTGCGCTATTCAGGGCGAAGGCTTTTGTGCTGTACTCTACGTAAATAAAAAAGTTTTGTTATTGTTTGTTTGTTTCCATATATATAGTGTGAAACTTCTGTTTCTTAAGGCTTAATCTGTCCGTGGAGAACAAGCGTGCCACTGGATCTGTTCGTTGTCAACTCTGTCATCCCAATGGTCAGATGCGGAAAGGTTCATCCACGAACCGGCATGGTGCAATGCATGCGCATCATCATCAAGCAGTTACAAGTACGGCGATCAAGCAAACTGTGACGGAAGTCAACTCCACATCAGGTGAAACGTTACTGACTGCATTTCCTATAATATATAAGGATAATTATAGGGAGTTGTCAAGACGTGAATGAAACGGGAGATTCGCCCCATGGGGTGAGGGGAGTCCAAGACATTCTTAGATTCTGAATTCCACACTGGATTCCGAATTCCAATTACTGGATTCCTGATTGCTTGTCATTGGAACTTGCATTCCGGATTCCAATTGTTAGCGGGATTCCGGATCGCTTGAGCTGTATTCCGGATGTCAAAGCCCAGGTGTCCAGATTTCACAAGCAAAAGATTTCCAGATTTCGGAAACCGGCCTGATTTGCCTTCAGTTCCATGGGACGATGAGATGACCTTGCTTTTAGTGATAACCCCTATCAAGAGAGGATAATGGGATTCCGTCTCTCTTACCCCTGTCGTACTTATACTCATACTACATGTTTAACAAGTAATGGTGACTTGTGTCGATCATTGCATTTTAAGGTCAGGTTAAGCAAAGACGTTTTGTGCAACGCTCGTCAACCGGAAGCGAAACCATTGTTGAGTTTCTTTTCTCTGATAAAGACAATTTACCCGAGCGTTTCAACCAAACCACTGCCCAATGATGCAAAAAGTCTACTTCCGGGTTACGTCCTTATCTCAAGAACGCCGTCACGGTCACGTGTCACGTGACTCTGAGCTCAATATGTACGCAGTCTTTTTCGTTTCAGCCTATTCCAGGCTCTCAGAAAGTAGGGACGTGGCAAAAAATAAAACTAGCCTGTTCCAGGCTCTCAGACAGCGGGGAAGACGCGGAAGAAACAGGATAGAATAAAACAAGCCTAGCGAAAATAAGACGCGCGCGATCTGGGGAAGCCCCCGCGAGTTTTTACTGTACAACTGCACTACTATATTCTGCTGCACTACTATCTGGGCCCTGGGACAGCCGGCTAGTTTCGTTTTTACTGTGGGGAGTCAGTGTAAATTTGTTGGGCCAACTCACAAAGAAAAGTGATCACCAACTTGCGGGAATGCCTATGAATAATCATTTTACCAATTTCCACAGTAAAACAAAGGGATTAGTTAAACTTAGATTTCAAATCTCAGTGCACTCACTTCTGAAAGCAATTATGTATACATGACTTATATATATCTATAAAATTGTAACCATATCTTTTGATAGCTGTAGATGGTGAATCGTCTGTGACAAACGTGAAGCATGCAATACAACCCGTAACCAGTTCAAGTCTAATCTTGGAAAATCCCAGCCATTTTTCTTTAAGGTAACGTTCATTTTAAGGTTTTTATTACTCATAGTGGAGACTTTCAGTTCTTAGTTGCACGTTGATATCGTCTTCGCAGTCTCTTCTGGAAAAATTTTTCTTTGCCAGTGTATTCTTACCCTGGATATCTCGGTAGTGATTCTTAATTTCGAAAAGTTTTGCCCTCCCCCCAGGTATATAGATATAGAGAATACTTCATGGAAAGTGCTGGCGTACGGTATTTACGCTCGAGTCGTTGACGTATCAGAAATCGAACGAGTGAGCTTAGCGAACGAATAAGATTTCTGATACAAAAACAACGAGTGCGTAAATACCGTACAAAGCACTTTCCATGTGGTATTGTGTTTATTACATGCATACTGAGACATTCATCATTTTGGCGGCCTTTTTATTTGAAATCTTTCAAAAATGCTAAAATTTGCCGCTACACACTTACCGCAAGTAAGTACGAAGTATCAGCTTTTTAGTAAAAACGTTTGTTAAAAACATAAATGACGGTAAGGATATGAGGTAATCCAAGAACTATGAGTAATCTTAACTGTATGTTCTCAAAGCACAATTGAAAATGAGTGAATTGAAGTAAAATGGCCGGTTCAATATAAGCTTAAGCTTAAATGAAAGGCAAAGTAGCTTCGACGAAAAGCACAACAAAAGCTTACGTCTCGTTCTGTTTTTCCCTTGCCGCTGTTGTTTCGCCGGCTCTCTACAGTTTTCTTTGTCGACAGTGAATCAAACGAAACTATTCCACTCCATTTCCAAATGTTTTTCACTTTTTTAGCGAGAAAAACTCTTTGAGTAAGGGACTTGTCAGAAATTAGCAGGGGGGAAGGGGGGTGGAAACAGAGGGAGGGTCACAACTTTTTGAGACTGCAGAAAAGGGAGGGGTCATGAAAAATGGGCCGTTAAAAGGGGGAGGGTCATGCAAATATGTTTCAGTGATCATGTAGAGGTTCACCCACAGAACAAAAAAGAAGTTCTTTATTGTGTAAAAATACTGGGAGAACTTGGAGAGTTGAGTGATCAGCTGTTAGAAACAGAGTCGGACTCTTAATGCTGTCATCTAAAATGTATGTATATGGCATTACAAAGAACAGATTAGAAATATATTTTGAGCTTTCATAATACTTACTCACCCTAGTGTATTGCAAGAACTAGATTTTATCATTTATACAAGAGGGGGAGGGTTATGATGTTTTAGGCCAAGGTCAAGGGGAGGGTTAGCAAATTTCACTCCCATTGCAGGGATGGGTCACCTCATTTCCGAACCCAAATTTAAAACTCCCACCCCCCCCTCCCCCCCTGCTAATTTCTGACAAGTCCCTAAAACTTTTCTCGTTGAATGTGTGCGAAGCGGCGCTGCAAGCTGCAATGAAAGGCAGGAATTTTGGCGCGAAACTCACACACCTCTGTGGCTTCTGATTGGACGTATCATTTTTCTCACACGTGAAAAAACATCGTTCGCGATTCTGATTGGACGTATAATTTTTTTCACGTGTGAAAACCATCGTTCGCTCCTCTGATTGGCTAGAACTAATTTGCGTTCGAAAATTTACGACATAGCTTTTTGGTGAGTATTTCTCAGTATGTATATAATAAAGATACTTATGAGATAGTTAAGGACAGGGAGGGGCTATACCATTCATTCCCGAGGGAAGTATACTAGTACTATTCCAGTGGACATCATCAGCAAAAAAAGGAAAGCAAAGCCTCATCTTTTGTTCCTTACTCCTTTACATTTTTTGAACTTCAGTGGAGACTTACAGTGACTGATGTCAAAAGTGTAATTAATATTTTTGTGTACCTGTTGCTCGTTTTACCGGCCCAAGGCAAGCTTGTTTCGCAGCAAGTGACGCAACTCCTGCGTAACTTAGTCCAGTCAGAAGTCAGTATTCATGCATCTTGCAGCAACCTTTATTCGTTGAAAGACAGATTTGAACGTAAGGGTGGTAAAACGTGCAACATTGCAACATTCGACACGTTCTGCGCCATGCCGGCATGTTGCAAAACAAGTTGCACGTTGTTTTGGCCTGTTTTACCCTAGCTTAACACATACCAGTGGCAGGTTAATAACAGTTTTGACACACGGTTATGTCTCCTTCAGTTATGTTCCCAATAACAGAATATAACGCTTCGTGACATTTCTCGATCTAATGGTAAAGATTTGATTCTCTTTTTGCTAATTCAGCCAGAGGGAAGATTTTTTGACCTTAGAAGTTCATCCGGACGGTGACTTTGTGCGTGTCTTCAACAATTCAGAGTTCAAAGTGAGTTCAAGCAGAACAGTTATTTTCCGCAGTTTTGTCACTTTTATTCAGTATTTATTTTAAAGAATCGGAAGAAAGAGGTGTTCTTTTTTTACTTGAACTCCTCATGGTGAGAAAGAGAAATATAATTGCTTAAGCTACATAAAAGGTGTTTATAATTACTCACTAGCGCCAACCTTCTAGAGTAAAGTACACAAGAAGCTAGTCTTGTCTTCTAACCATCCCTTACGGATTTTTATGAGAATAGTTTATGTAGGTCTCTGGAACTAGAACCGATTGTTTCACGTAAGAGTTTTATTCTTTCATATCTTGGTTTTTACAGTCTATAATTAATCTAATGGTAAAGATGATGATAATGATAATAACGTTCAATTAAAAGCGAATACAGTCGAAACTCCATTTGCGACCATCTCTCATATGAGCGACCACCTCAATCCCATAAGCGCCCACTTCTCCGAAACACAAAAATTTTCCGAGTCAAAGCCTTAATTTGCCACAGGAATACTGCGACTTCCTTTATTTGCATTAGAGTTTATCAGCTTTCGATCAATCATATTACGTATTTCCGACGACATCCCGCTTCTCATCATGTGACATGTATTTTTAATTATTTCGTTACAGGATGAAGAGATTGGTGGATTTATTATTCGACAGAATGTAGCTGGCAGGCCTGTTAGTTTGTTCCGTTTTCCTCCGGAAACTCTTCTCAAGACTCAAACCTATACAACGGTAAAGATCGATACAAAATTAAATTTTTGACAGCCTGTCCTTTGCACGCCTCCAGTATAATATTAAATTTTGTTAGCCTGGTAAATGGAGCGACAATCGAATAAGCGTCCGAGGCGCATGGTTTTTCAAAACTTGACAGCCATTCTCACTGCCATATGATATATGGCAAGTAAGGCTTTTTATTTCTGTGATGCAAACTTCTTCTCGATCGTCTACTACTTCTCTACTATCCCTGCGCTTTTCAGCATCGTTATCTTTACTTGTCTCTTCTTTAGTACACAAACAAAAAGAAGGCATTTTCTCTTGACCAGTGATGTAAATTGTGTGAGACAAGAGAGTGTTTTTGTTTTTCCTATAGGTATGGTCCGCGTCAAGCTTATCAAATCACAATCCACCATCAGAATTGGTGAACAGAGGTCACCATCAGTGGAGGACTGGACCAAAATGTACCACAATCCTTTGCAAGCCAAATGGACAGGTGAGGCAGGCATTTGTTAGTAAATGAGATAAAACAACTGAATCTCACCTACAGAAGAGTTAAGACCGAACTATTGATCCACCAAACTAGGAAATCAAGCAAGGTACTCACGGTATTTTCTAGAAAAAAAAAATTCTTTTTTTCAATACACTCTAACGTAGTTTTGTTAATATTTATTATAATTTTGGAATCCTTTTCACAGCCCGTGTCATGGACCAAAGTTGTTTGTCCAAGAGACAAAGAAGGGAAACGGCTCTCTAATCCTCCAGCTGACGCCGCTTATTATTCGCACAGAAGTAAGACTAGCAGCTTTGATGGCATGACTGAAACGCGGGTTTGGCGACCATGAGAGCACTCGGGGCATCCAGCGCCCAGGTTCAATATCACATCTGACTGTCAGTCTTTAGTATCACACAGGACAATTGTCAACATTGAGTTATTTACTATCATTTAACGCGTATCTTACGAACAAATTGAACAGTTAAAAACTTAAAACCTATGCACTTAATTCCTAGCCTCCCACGCAGGCATTTTTAGGCGTTTTTATTTTAGGGAGACGAAATACGAGCTCCCCTAAAAACGCCTGCGTGGGAGGCTACTTAAGGCCAAAATGGCAACAATATTGTTTTATATTGATTGTGGTAATTAGCCACTTTTTCCTTGATTGCACCTGCCGAATTCAAAAGAATTTTACCTTGAAACAAGGCGTCGCGGGTCAATTATATATCATGAGGGAGAGGAATAACAAAATGTGCCTCCATATTTGGAAAAGGTAGATATATGTTGTAGTTAATTTTTTATCTCAGGTAATTTTTGTTTTTCTTTTGTTTTTGGGTATGGTAATCTATGCCAATGAAGTTGAAACAAAGGAAAATAAAATTGCCTGAGGTAAAAAAAATAACTACAACATATATAACAGGATTCAGTGCTTAAAAGCTATGTATTGCTAAAACATCGGAAGTGTTGAATGAGTTAGTTTTAATTTGTACATCGAAACTTAATTTTCAAGAGGTGTGTTTAGTAGCTAAGGGATTTTCTCTGCATGAAGTTTTTAATAGTCAGTTGAGTGAAATTGAGTTGTAACGCCGTTTGTTTCCTTACGCTTTGTAAAAGCATTTACCTGCAGCTGATAAACGTCTTAAGCATAATCAGGCGCCCCATAACAAGGGGCTCCTGCTATAGTTTAGTTTTAAGTTACTCGGTCAGTATGCCGACGTACAATTTTGGTTGTTGACGACACCGAAGAGTTACGTAGTCTGTTTCTGTTTTAAAATACCTGTACAAACAAAAACATCACTTGTAACACTATCTCCGTATTGGTGACGAATAAAAAAGAGAGAGTGACAGGAGCCTATGACTCATGGGCTCCTGGGAGTGGCAAACATTTATCCAAGATATGATGATGATAAATGGCACGATGGTTCCTGAGAAAAAGGACGGTAACTGGCCCTGGAAGGATAATGATTAGGCGATGAAACGATCAGTCTGCTAAATATAGGGGCAAAAAATCCGAGGAAATGTCAGCCTTAAAATCTTCGGAGGTCGCCCCAAGTCAGACAAAAATAGCTGCCAGGGAACGAGCAACACTGATGACAAAAATAGGCCTCAGAAAACCGGCAGCATGTGTTGAAACCTAGCCTGCTTCGCAGACACTGAAAACCTGTGACCCCTATATACCAGTGCTCTAGACGAGGCTTGGGCAGGGCCTGAGCCGGCTGCAACGCAGGCTGGTCAGCTGAAACCGAGCCACAACTAGACTACGAGTACTCCTCTTTTCCCCTCAGGGAAAGTAAAGCGAGCGAAACGCGAGCGCGTTGCTCGCGTGGGGGGTGATTTTCACGCGCGCTCCCGTTTCGCTCGCTCTACTATCCATGAGGAAAAATGGGGTCATGCTACAACGAATCCTCCCACGGACTCCTACTTTTCTTTCGTTTCTTTTCTTTTGTATTTTGTCAAAATATGTTACCCCAGGTCACTCAAACGTTTATTATGAATTCAGATGAGATTTTCGAACTGGATTCAATTTAGACAAAAGGGATTTTGTTATAGTAGTAAGCCGCCCATCCTCGCGGGCGGATCGAGACCCTGCAGGGGCAGTCAGTCGGGTCGGAAGAAAAGGCGTGAAGAAAGTTTCCAAGTACGGCGGAGGAGCCCCGTGCTTGAAAATGGTTCGCATTCGTGTGTTTTTTAAAGTGATCTCACATGATATCTTTGTCAGAGATCTCACATCTTACAGAGGCTCCCGCCTTTTCCCTCTTCCCATCGTTCCCCGCGCGCTTTCTATTTTTTCGATTATTGCTGTTTTTGTAGGGATACCTAGCGGGAGCTTCTGCGGAGGAGAGAGCTTATCGAGTTCATAGGTAACCATGCCCCCCCCCGGGCATACCCCCGTGGGATTTGTATTTTTTTTCTTTCTTGGAGTTCTATTCCCCACCCCGGGCACGCAGAAATTGACAATTCCCTACCCCCGAGCTCCTGATCGACCTCATATACGTTTCTTTTTTTAAACCTTTAAATATAGACTTTAATGACAAGTTATTCCTCGCCAACCGGCCACTCTCCGACAAATTAAATTCCTGCGTTTTTCCTTAAAAATACGTACTCTCGAGGTCCGCAGCCATGTAGCCTGAGTTCCCCAAACAGAGAACCTGTTCACAGGCTAGCAAGGGAAGACAGGACCACTTCAAACAATTCCCCACCCCCGGCTGGACTTGTCCCGGGGTTCCTCGGGGGGGATGGTAACAGGTCAAATTGAACCATTCATGAATGCTTGCCATCACGACCAAAACTAGCCTGTGAACAGGCTCTCTGTTTGGGGAAAAATAGCAAGGAAAGGGAAGGGAAAGGGGGGAAAGAGCCTGTAGACAAACATTTGACGCTACTATTCCGCCTCTTGTAATTATCCTACCGATCATCTGTCAGTAGGATCGTTTTCGGTTAATCAATTTCGCGCGTGAGTAACTCCTGGGAAAATTAACAGGAAATGAGTGGTGTTTTGCTCCGTCTGAAAACGAAGTGAAATGGAGCATGAACCTCATTGTTGATTTTGCAAAAAGTCGTTGATCTCCGGTAAGAGGATTGTTCGTCTTGCTAGTTCGGTTTGTAATTTAACAAGCCGCTCCAATGAGCGAACTTGGAATGCGGAAGGTACGGATACTATCATGACTTCTCCAGAACGTGAAGCTTTGAAGACAAGTACAAAGAGATCAGCAGCGCTTCGATCGCCGACAGGAATTACATGGTAGGCCGACACGACTTTTACTTTATGCCAAAACGCTGCTTGTTCCCATAAGTTTTTTCCTCTGCGGGGTAGATTATTATTTGGAAGGTTCTACATTTTCACGGAGCAAATGTGATTTTAGCCACTTGTTTCACACTGAGATGTCATGGCTAGACTACGAGTAGTCCCCCATTTTTCCTCAGGGATAGTAGAGCGAGCGAAACGCGAGCGCGCGTGAAAATCACCCCACGTGAGAAAAGGCGACACGCGGCGGGGAGAGAGAAAAACGAGGGACTACAGACAAAGCCCAAGCTTTTGAACTAATGCGTTGCTCTCACAACGCAAAACTCTGATTGGCCCCTCCATGGAAATCTGTCAGCATCTGTCAAAAACTCGTCAGCCGCTATCAACACTCGACATAATCACAATTTACAGAACAAATAACAGCACAAAACAAATAACTACAGTTGCTCTTGTTGAAGCAACTAAGCAGAAAGCCAACCCGGCAACTGATGAGGTTCGCGTGGAGAACCGAAACCATGGTCTTGCGTGATCACAAATTTGGAATAACAGAATAGTCGCAAGGCTGTTTAAGCTAATTCAAAAGTTATCACCAAGGGAGGAACTACGTGCTCTAGTCTAAAGACTCACTTTATCTCCAGAAAAACGAGCGGCAGCAGTTAAAATTCATGAGCAGTCATGACTGAGTCACATCGCAATTCTCCATAGTTAATGTAGTTTTAGTTCAAGCTGTAATTCATTCTTCGAGATTTGGACATCACTATCCGTCCTGCCAAAAACACTAACGAGCTGGGCCCAGCGTGACAAAATATCGCAGGAAACCGTCACATTCACGGCCAAAAAGAAAATCGCTTAAAATTATTCAGATCCAGGGGGCAATCGCCGGAGAAATTAAACAACCCAAAACCCTTATTTTTCTCTCTCCCCGCCGCGTGTCGCCTTTTCTCGCGTGGGGTGATTTTCGCTCGCGTCTCGCTTGCTCTACTATCCCTGAGGAAAAATGGGGGACTACTCGTAGTCTAGGTCATGGCATACATATCGATTTACTGTGGTTTTTGTTTCTGGTCGACAGGATTTGCCCTCTGATGCAAGAGCATTTTCTTTGACCTCTTTTGAAGCGTAAAGCTTTTTATTGCGGCTGAATAAGGGCCTTACTTTTCTCCAAAGTGCCTTCTCGATCTGAATAACTAAGCGATTTTCTCTAGTCCGTGAATGTAATGTTTTTCTGCAATGCTGCAGCTCGTCAGTGTTTAAAAAGATGGTTATTTATAAGATTAAAATGCAGCTTTTTAAACCGAAGCTACATCAGCTATGGAGAATTGCATTGTGCTTCGGTAACTATAAACTCCAGCTTAGTGTTTTTTAAAAGACAGTTTGAGTCTTTTGACCGGAGCGCGTAGTTCCTCCCCGTGGTAATAGTCTTTGGACTGTTTTGTTGTTGCCACTCTGTGATCAAATCACGTGCTACCTGCCGACCGAAAAGCCGATGTCAATCAGACCTGTCAACAGTCAGTGTTCTCGCCAATAGGAGCTTGCATCAGGATCTGATGGACAGCGGGTGCCGTGGAACGGCGACCCCAAAGGTCTGTCCACAGGCCTTTTCGCTTTTCCCTCTCCCCTCCCCGCTCGACTAAAGGTCTGTTCACAGGCTAGACCAAAACTAACTTGTACCCAGTCATCTTCGTCCCGGCGCCCGTGCACCGCTTCCCTTTTTAGCTCGTAAAAAGTACTACAAAATGCTAGAGGATGAAGAAATAAAATTCAGTTATTGCTAAAAAACATATGAGTCTGCAGTCTTTTAGTTTGATCGAAATGCTAAATAATGCAACTTAGCATCACGGTTCTTTAAGGCCATCCTCTTTTTTTTCTCCGTTTATGTCATCCCCCCCCCTCTTTTTTTCGTTTAGCGTCGAATGCGTTTCTTGATATTAGGTCGGTCGGTCGGATTGAAAAAAAATAAAAATAATAATAATAATAAAAAAATCACAAGAAGTCTCGGAATAGGAGGCCCTGGTACCCCAGGATGATTTTAAAAGTTAACATTCACGTATTTGAATTAACTGGCAAAATGCACAATATACTAAAAAAAATGTGCCTGTCTTTGTCCC